CCTAGAAATTATTATTCGTGCCTATTGTCACAATCAGAAACTCTAGTCAACACGATCTAATTTTTTTTAAAGACTCTGACCCATTGGATTTTGACCATCAAGCCTTACTAGATCAAACACTTGTAAACACAATAGACAGTTGTATGCACTGAATAACTAACACAGCAATCAGAAAAGATTCCAGAGATCCAGAGCTTTTACCTTCAACTATTACAAGGGACAAAGCAGCACCAGTTGGACTTTTTTACACAGTATGAAACACGTATTTTCGACCCTTTGTTCAGAAAGTATTGCCACTCCTGTAGAACAAAGATGTTTCAACTACTTTTTCAAAAGAGCTCAAAAGACATTCAAGAAATCATTGAATTTTGAGACCCAAGAGGCAACCGAAGAAACTTTACCTGTGGTTTCCAGGTTCAATAAATGCAACATGCCTCTGACCAAGTAATTTTAACATCCAGACGAGTAATTCATCAAACCCATACGAACTGGTCGGGTTGTTTGATTCATGTAATTCCTTGACCTGTATGTATATAAACCAACTCAAACTCTCGTTTTAGAAAGCAGCACAAGAGTAGAAGAAAGCAGCCAACAACTGACCTTGATTGACTGCACGAAAATGGAATTGGCAGCTAAAAGGCGTGAACTATTAGGACCCAACTCAATGCTTTGAAGTCCATAAAATCCCAGTATCACAGCAAGACAAGCTGTCAAAAATCCAAATATAAACTCAAGATTCGCGCATATGTTGTATGATCAAAATTTACAGAAATACGGAGTCTTTCACGCCAAAAAACAGCACTACAACTAATTGGCGTTTTCTCTATATCAAAATCACTATCTTTTTTGACAAGACACCGGAAACACATTTGTTGAGTTCGTCAAACAAAGAAAGAATATAGAGCCAACATTTAGACAATCATGTGCCCAATTCAAGAAAATTTCAAAAAGAAAAGAAAATAGTAGTACCCAAAATCCAAAAAGTGACGAGGACGATGAATGCAGCACACGCCTCATCTCTGATACTTGCGTTAACCACCTGAAATACTGAAACATTTAGGCGATAAGATACCGGGCGATGGCGGTGCTGATGCGGGGGGTGGTACTGCTCAAGGTCGTTTGGGGTTCGATCACGGGCAAGAAATGCATTCTCCTCTTGTTCTTGAACATGTGCAGAAGATGAAGATGATGGAGCCTCGTGGTTTACTGAATCAGAAGAAGCAACCGTAAGCCCACCAGTAATGACTTCCATTCTTGACCGCAGCACGAAGAAACGAAATACTGGCTAGTACTAAAAGAAACAAATAGAGTGACCTGGATTTGGATTAGTTATAAGATTGCTTGACAAGTTATTGGAAGTTTGAGTCAGATAAAGGAAAAGGGAAGTTAAATTGGAAAGAGATAAAGACGGAGGGAATGACAAACTTTCTACTTCAGTGAATACGAGTGCTTTTTCAAGAAGTAAGGAAAGAGGAAAGCGTGGCTTGATTCTGATAGTGTAGGATGAAGGCTAGTGCAATTAACATGGGCAATTGAGATTCATGGTGGAAATTCATCTCTTTTACTAAATAGCCTTCTTCCGGTTTTTGTACATCTCCTATATCTGATTCTGTATCAGTTTTGTCTACTTCTCACACAAATTTCAAAGGCTCTGAAAATGAATCTGGAAAGAGCATCAAATGGTGGACAGCGGTCCAATAGAATTGTTTTGAAAAATGTGGACGAGGTGGTTGGGTGGCAGCGCTGATGGCACTTGATGCACTCACCAACCGGTCTCTCGGGGTTTTGGTGTGCACAGTTGAGTGACTCAGCTCTAAACTCCCACCAGTTGGGCTGGGCACTTTGGTGTCGCGGGCAGACTGTTAGTTGTTGATTTGACCCCTTATGCTGAGCCAAAACTGAAAACTGTAACTGATGGATAAAGGTAGGCCCTGGCGGCCTCTGATCAGTGCTCAACTCCAATTATCGTATATCATGGCCTGGACACCGCCTCAGTTTATTACCTTGTATTCGCAGATAGTATATATATTAATTAATCAGCACCTTTAAATGCGTGGACATATGAAAAACATGAAATATGCTTCTCGTAAAATTGAAATCTGAAATTATCAAAAGTAATGAATTATTCAATATTAAATTTGATATATTTAAATATATATCATATTAAATGATAAGCGAATAACTTATCACTTATTTTTTAGACCAAATTTTGCCTATGAAATTTAGTGGCCGCTTAATGAATTCAGATGTTCTACTTTTGATGATCAAACATGTTTGAATATGTTAAAATTTTAATTCATTATATTTAAGTGTTGAATTAGATTGTCAAACAAGATTGAAGCTTAAATTCAAATTAAAATCAAATAATATGTATTCAAAATTACTAGTATATACACTGCTGACACAAAAGAAATTAATTCTCTTTTAACAGTGCCAATATATGTCTAGATTAGGTAGAGATGTGACAATTAGATTCTCCTAATATTATTTTCTTTCATTTTTAAGTAAATTTTTGCCAAGATGTCGTAAAGACTTGAGACTCGCTTAGAAATCTTGCTTAGGGCTGCTTGGAGTTGCAGTAGCATATTGAAAAGTACTTCTCTGATAGATCTTTTTAATAAAAGTACTTATCAACTGCTTAAATGTCTTTAAATATATTGTTTGGATATACAATTCAATAGGTGCTTATTATATTAGATAATGTGTGATTTAAAAATCTTTAAAAGTATTTATCTTTTTATTTGGTTCATAAATTAGGATAAGATGATTAAATTTGATATTTTATTTTTCAAATCACAGAAGCCAATTTAAAAAGCACCAAATTTGAGTTTTTGCTAAAAGTACTCTTAACACTAAAAACTCTACTTCTAATTTTATGAAATGATGCTCACCAAACACTTTAAAAATAATTAGGAACTAAAAGTAATTCAATCCCAAACGAGACCTTAGTTTACTTTTCAACAATTGTCTGCTAGTAGTAATTGAATATGATTAGCAATTGCCTCGTGAGTGGATTGAGGATTAGGTTTAAAATTTCTTCCTCTCTATTGTTGGAAAAAAAGTAATTGAATATGATTATTATAAATCCAGGGAATGACACAGCGGCCGTTAGAAAAGAGTGGGGAAAACGAGAGAATTTTTTCATGAATATTGAAATAACTAACTATCAAGCAGGCCTCGCGTTTGAGGCTCCTCGATGGCCATAATTGTAGGCCTCGAGTTAAGAAAGAGAATCTCTTTTGATATGTGCATACTATACAAACGTCCGCGGATCTAGCGGCTGCAAGCGGGCCTCCCATCTCGTACGAAATTTATACAGTATTTGTTTTTGTTGGAAATGGGGCAGGAACGGTTGTCTGACAACAGTTTCTAGCAGTCGACGGTCATGATTTGGTCAAAAATTTTTGTACGACTCAGATCATATATTGTAACTCTATTTTTCATGTCGTGTGTGGAACTCACAAAAATTTGTTCTAAAGTTACGTCATGTGCAAAGAAAGTTACACCATATGCAATCAAAATTACGCACAGCGAAAAATACACACAATCGGTAGAAACGGTTGCACCTGCAACCGTTTGTGCCCCTTGTCCGTTTTTGTTCTCTTCAATCGAAATTATTTCTAACGATATCCATATAAATAAAATACCTTGTTTTTATGAACAGTTTACAATATTTTTTATGTGAACTCCAAAATCTATTTATGTATGAAGTTCGTCTCTTAAAAATAAATTATGCAAGAATTTGTAATGTGGTAGTGCATGCATTAGTGGCTTGCACCAGCCATACCCATTTTTTAATTTCTTGGAGTACTGCGACCCATTTTATCTTGAAAAGTCAACTTGTCCGAACAGATTGGATCCAGACCCAGGGATAATTAACCCTGATTCCGCCGGTTTTGCATGGAACTCAAAAAAATTACTTTCATTCCGGTTTGGACCAAGCTATAAAGTCCGGTCAAGGTTTTTGACGGGGACCATGGATTGGTCCCTGCACCTCTCTCGCATTCTACTTCCGTCCTCCCCCCTCTTTCATTCCTAGGTTTCACTTCTTTTTTTTTTTAAATAATAATAATAATGGTAATAATAATAATAACCTCTCACCAGATTAAGGCATTGGTCTTCTTACCAACTTTCCAGGGTTAATTCGACTTTCTACCTATTAATTATATCCAAATCTCACTTTAGTTTTTACATTTCAGAATGGGACGCCGTACTCCCTAAATTATAATTTTTTTCCATGTTTTTAATCTCCAAAGCATAGAACTTATCCATTTTAGTGCTTAATGTATAAAATTTGATCCAATTTAGTCCCTAAAGAAAAGAGTACCAACTCAGGCATAAAATCTATTTCACTTCCTTAATGATGTTATTTAAGTGAGATAAATTTTACTTCAATTTAAGGACTAAGGTGTCCCGGCCATAATAAAGTCTATGAACCAAGGTAGGAATTTAGACATACTTGAAGGGTGCAAAGTGGAATTAACCCAACTTTCCATGCAAATGTAAATTCAACTTTTAGCATTTGGTCCAAATACAAGTCTTTTAGCAAACTGGTATACCTCTTGATATAAAAAGGAATTCCAGTATTATTATTAGTTGTAATATCTTCATAATGATATGAGAGAATTGACGGGCAACCAGAACAGGATGCTTTTCAAAATATTCCTATCAGACAATATAAACATGATGCTTTAATGTGTTAAATGCATATTATCTATGCTTTCCTTATTAACAGTCAAAATTATTAACCTTTAGGTGATTAATATGAGATCAAACGATCTTCCCTTCAATATCTCTCAATGACAGACATGTATTTACCAAGAATTCAGTTGGAATTCATTGACACGATCGATTTTTTGATTGAGGAGATAATTAATGGAAAAGTGAAAGTGGCCGATCGAGCCTCTGTCAAGCACTAATGATTGTATTCATAGAAAAGGTTAGTAGGGGTCCCCAAGAGGGACACATAAACACAGAATGTATTGTATTGTGATGATCGATAGGAAAGGAATAATCCAAACCAAATAGGCGTCTTTGGGTTTGGATATAAAGATGGAAACTAAGTCCACTCCACTACGATTTGAATGTGTAACTTTTGGGGAATATGCTGGGGGCCGAATAAATTCTCCAGCTGTTTCCCTTTTTTGGGTCCAGACTTCTTGCTGTTGCAGTGACTTCCCTGAGTGCAGAACCTCACTGAACGTCGTCGAGAAGCAACAAGCCAGGAGTTGAGTCTCCCCGAAGTTCCTCAGGTCTTCATCTTCCTTTTTGCCAACCTTCATGTTTCCAATCTTTTTCTTGAAAAAAAAAAAAAAAGAAAGAAAGAATTTGTTCCCTTTTGTCAGAACTAAGTGATTTAGGTTATCCAAAAAGCTCCGGTAACTTGACTCATAAGGGAGCTGGAAACGAGATATGCATCTTTGAAACTGAGAAACATAATATTGTCTTAGTTTGTCAAACTCGTTTATCCTCCTGGTCAGTACTTGGAGAATACTTCGTAAATTGCGGCAGGATGATGTTCATATGACCAAGTGGCATATTCTCACTGCTAGCTTAGCCCGATTTTTTCCTTCCCCCCCCCCCCCCAAAAAAAATTTCCAGCCCTTCAGTTTTTTCATCTAATTACATGTTGTAGCATGCGAAGGGGCAGTTTTTACGTCAGGTACAAGAAACTCCTCCGCAACTGTAATCTGCTTCAGCAAACCATATGGCTAAATATCTCAAGACCTTGTTGGCTTCAGGATTCCGGAAATATTTCGTAATTTGTATAAACAGGGTACGAGAGAAGCATGCCGCCCTGGCACTAGAAAGCAACGCTTCAACGTCATCTGATATCAGTACAAAGGCCATGGGAGAAGTCCTGAGGAAATATGACAAGGTCATTGAATTTTTATGATTTCAAATGTGACGAGGTCATTGAATTTTCATTTTTTTTTTCTCAGTACTTTTCAGGTTCCATTTTCAGCTCTGTATAGGTTTTAAAGAAGTCAGATAGCTCATAACTGCATTGATATCTCCCACTTCCAGTATATAAACTACTATATCAAAAGGAACAAACAGAAATTAACTTGCAAATCTTCAAGACAAACAAATTGTGCTTTGAAATGCAGACCGCATAAAGGCAGAACTATGATGAATATGCAACTAAATTTCATCTATACTTGGCCCCTTCATATTGTCGATGCATTAATCAGCAAGATCTGTCTTTTTCTGCCTGCAGGTTCATGGCTCAATAAACAACCTGAAATGCCAAAATGTGCAGCTTGAGGACCTTAAAAACCCTTGCCTCTGTGAATTGATGGCATGGCACATAAATGTGAAGGAAAAAAAGAACAAAACTACTATTCCTGGACTATTGGATGACTGCAAGCTGCAAATAAGTGAAGGAAGATTTTCCATTTCAGCATCTCTTTCCAATTCGAGGGTGCTTGATGTTGATCTAACTTGTTCAATCTGTTTGGTGAGTTAAATGTTTTAGTAGTAAGAAGTGTTCCCTTTAGCTTCAGCACCGGTGAAGTTGAGACTTGTGCATATATTTGGCAACAGGAAGCATTATTTGATCCAGTTTCTCTCACATGTAGTCATATGTTCTGTTACATGTGTGCTTGTTCTGCTGGATCAGTATCTACCATTGATGGAATAAAGGCTGCAGATTCAAAATCAAAATGCCCATTGTGCAGAAAAGTAGGTAACTTTACTTTTATGTGAATTCACTTGGTAGATGTATCGAACAAGCGCTGAACATGGTTGCAAAATCAAGAAAATGAACCCGGTTGCTAGAAAAGGCAGCAGGAAGTAGGAATTACCCTCATCAATTGCAAAAACTTCTTGCATATGTTAATGCCAAGTCTGTGGCTGCTCATGTTAGGTGTAGGTAAAATGGCCAGCACATAAGCTCTAAAACATAATACACCTGATCTAAGCCAAACTAGTGCCTAAGTTGATGGTAGTTTACGTGCAAAGTTCTGTTTCCTGATTTTGGTGTCCGAGGCACGTGGATAAAATATTGAGAACAAGATTGTGACAATGTCACTGATTATGGGATTCACTTCCATCAGAATGGTGTGTTCAGTGGAGCAATGCGCATGTCCCAACTAAGCATTTTACTGAGAAGAAAGTAAGTTGATTCAGTTATTGGCTGGTTTATTTTACAGTGCAAATCTAAGTACAGCAATACTTGAGGAAAAACCAAAAAGAAGAAGGTTTACATTAGCTGCATTTAATTGAGCCTTCCTGGTATTTGGATAGATTGCCAGAATACTGGGACGAACGGCGGCAGAAGGAGCGGAAAGCACGGCTGGAAGAAGCTAAAGAATACTGGCAGTTACAATGTCGTGCCTTCGTTGGAATTGACTAGAGTTGGAGACCGAGAAGAAGATCAATCTTGGCAGTCCTCTTTCCTCTGTATTGAGAAGAACCAAGAACCAAGAACCAGATGTCTTTGTTTTTGTTTTGTTTTCCTTCAATATTTCATAGAAACTGTGCTATATTTGTGGAGTTACAAGTGGGCTCATGCTTCATAGTTTGGGCAGAAATCAGATGGTTAACCGAAGAGAAATCTTAAAGAAAGAAATGTTCAATACAAAAAACAGCAAATCGCAGTTGGCACTCGTAGAAACGCAGCAAGAAATTAAGTTTTTCTTTTGGTGAATAAGGATGCATTGAAAGTAAACAAAGAGGTTGACAGAAGTAGTCATTATACGAATCATCAGAAATCACATCCAGGAAGCGTGGAAAGATAACACCCCTAATATCATCTAACACAAAAAGAAGTATGAAATCAGGACGACTATCAAAGCCTGGATGTGTCCTATACAGCTCCTTCCATATTTTGCCAGCACGTCTGCGCGTCTGTTTGCTTCCGGGAAATTATGGTAGAAACGTACCTGCTAAAATGCAGTCAATAGCTCCCGGCAATCAAAAAGAACAGGGGAAAGCTCATGAGAAATTAGAGAATTATTTTGGATAAGAGAGACTATATAATTTTTGAATTCGATTCCATTTCAAGGGAGGAGATATTAAGCAATTTTGCCAGGTATAATCCTTCTCTGAGTGCCCAAAATTCAGCACAAGGCACTAAACAAGCTCCCAGTGCGAGCAATCCTCCAGGGACCATTGCAATCCCTGATGATTCCTCGAACACCTGCCTTACTGAGTGAACCAGGCAACCAGCATCTCAGCCATTAATGTTGAGTTTTGCTTAGTTAGGGAATCCATCTAATATAGGGATCTACCTTGCTGGCAATGCAAGTCTTGTTTACAGAACCCAATAGGAAAATTTCATGCGCAAGGTTTAGACGAGCAAGAAAAATTAAGTTACCATACGTTCAGAGTTATAAGATTTTGATCCTGTCACCAGCCAAACCAAAATAAAAAAAAAAAGGATAGTGAAACTCAAATTTATAGATTATTTTTAGCCACTAATATTTTTCTAAATCCATCATTCTGTACTTCTTTATTCCTATGTTGTAATTAAGTTACAATGTCAGTGACACTTCTCCAAAATAAAAATTAAAAAAAAACACACACACACACATATGGTTCACAACGCAGATAGATGGAGAGCCATTCCATCTAAAGCGTGTAGACATTTTAAGGAACTAAAATCACGCCTTATTTATTCTTACTGCCTAGAGATTCTGGACTTTGTCGTCCTTTTCTTTGGGCCTTCACGTTCCGATCTTAGTCCATCAAGTCCAAAATTCTACTCTCACGAACCCCCACGAACCTCTAACCAATAGCATTGATCAGCAACACCTCAATAGGTTACGTGTCGGTGTTCTATTGGTGGTCTCCACAAACCCCCCGGGTCATATACCCCTTCCTTCTCCGACTCGGCACCGAAAAAGTTGAGGAACACAGCTTCGGCAGATAGATAGATATGGCCAGATCGAGCTCGCAAACTCTCAGAGTACTCTTTTGCAGTCTACTCATCCTCGGACTAACAGCCGTTGCCCAGGTTATCTTCGTCATTCTCATCATCGGTTTACTATAATACACTAATCTTGAATCAAAGTTTCGATCTGTCTTCACCGGATTGGTTTTAACTGCAATTTTAGTTGTTGACTAGAGCGTAAAACCAATTCCAATATTTTGTCCCGACGTTTTAGCTGATCCTCATTTTTGCATGATGGAGAATTTAATTAGTAATATAAAATGATTGACCTGGATGAGGAATTTATAGTACTCTCCGGGATTTCGATTTATAACGCTCTATGTGGATAATTCCCTGCAACTAATAGAATTTAGTAGTAATAGATTCTACCGATGTGGCTATCGTGCCTGTGGATTGGTTGTTTAACAAAATCGTGTAATTGGCCGAAGGAAAAATGAAGATGTTATTTAACTATTGAATTGCTTTTTCCCGATTTAATGGAGTTACTGAGTATCGTCCGAGATAACTAATTCATGGAATTATATATAATTCATAGGAAACATTTTAAGTTTGCAATTTGTTCGATACTTGATGTTCGACTGCTTATATTTTACTACGTAATTACACACGCAGGCTAAAAAATCAGACAATGACTTGAAAGAAGTGACTCACAAAGTTTACTTCGATGTCGAGATTGATGGAAGACCTGCTGGTATGCTCTTAGTCTCACTTTACATGCTCTTGTCAGTTGTACTTGCATACAGATCTTATATCTAAATGTAATGCTGCGAGTTTTACTAAGAATAGGCCTGAGTATGAAGTGAACCACTGGAGCTGCTAATTTTATAGATTATCGCCTAGTTCTTTTTTAAATTTTAGAGTTGAAAAATGATCTTTGTCATTCGTGTTCAGGGCGGGTGGTGATGGGTCTCTTTGGCAAAGCAGTTCCTAAGACAGCAGGTATGATGGTGTGATATAAGATAAAAAATTGGTGATCTCATCATAACGTTCTATTTCCTGATTTTTTTTTCTTTCTCAAACACATTTATTTTGGTTGGCAGAAAATTTCAGAGCATTGTGCACAGGTACATTCTATAATCTGCTTCCTTCTCAAAAATTATTCACCAACTCTGTGAATGCTTAATCCATTGTGTCTTCAAATGATTTATTGATTCATTCTGGTGAATTCTGGTCGATTTAGTGGTTAACTTGATAATTATACCAGTCTAGGATATGTATCTCATCAATGATTTGGCCGCACCACAAGATTGGTTTGTAACTCAATTAAGGACACGATTTATGGGTAGGATTTTATTTTCAGGGGAGAAAGGTACTGGAAAGAGCGGGAAGCCTCTCCATTACAAAGGAAGCAAATTCCATAGAATCATCCCCAACTTCATGATTCAAGGTGGTGACTTCACCCTTGGTGATGGTAGGGGTGGGGAGTCAATTTATGGAGAGAAATTTGCTGATGAAAATTTCAAAATTAAGCATACCGGACCAGGTAATTTTATTTTTTCAAGGGACTGGTTTACACAGAAGTTTTGAAAGTTCATTGATTCTCCAGCATGATGTAGATTGATTTCACTCTTATCTAATTTCCAGGCCTGTTGTCAATGGCTAATGCTGGTGCTGACACCAATGGTTCACAGTTCTTCATAACAACTGTCACAACTAGCTGGTAATTTTCATGCATCTTATTGGCCATTGTGCTTTTAATCTTTAATAGTCAAATAACTGGGCCTTTTCTGTTCTTTGTCGGTTCAATGTTGCACAACTTTTCCTACTTACAGGTTGGATGGTCGGCATGTAGTCTTTGGTAAGGTCCTCTCTGGCATGGATGTAGTTTATGCGATTGAAGCTGAAGGCAGGCAGAATGGAACGCCAAAAAGCGAAGTTAAAATTGCCGACAGTGGTGAACTCCCGTTATGATGAACTTCTGCTTAGGTGTCTTTTTTTGTTCTGCTAACTGTTTGGGTTAGAATGGCTCGGTTGCAGTTGCATGATTCTGTATTAGTAGACCCTCGTTTCTTGTGACGGTTTCAAACTTCATAACTTTTTATTATGGAGCTCTTTGAAGCATTATCTTTTTGTTTTCTTGAACGAGCAGTCATTGTTCTAAAGTTATATTTAACTTGTTAAATTGCAGGAGTAGAATAATGTTGGATAGAACTGACTCAAATAAAGAAGTAGACTAAGATTGGACAGAATTTGGTGTACTCAATTATTTGCAAATTTTACGATATTGAAGTCCTATTGTCGTCTACTCTGCCTGGGAAAAGAGTCGAAATCTAACCTACCACTGAGTACAGTATTTGAATTTGTCTACTGTATAGGTCGCAAGAGATGGCATTTGGTTTTAATGCTAGCACCGCGCCACAGGATCCGTAATTTTCACAAAAACCTGAATTTGGAGGCATCACTCTTGACACTTGATTACCATTCCTAACTTGCGCTGTTAGGCCTGTGGCGCTTCTAACTCTGAAATTTAGAGGCGTTAATACTTTTTTTTTAATCTTTAAGAAAAATCAGAGAGAACAAATCACTTAATAAAACCTGGTACTAGTACTGGGGTTCAGTAATCAAATCGCTTTATGACCATCTTTTCCAACTTAAGGAATTGGCCGAGAATGGCTCCTCTCATTTTGTATACCGTTCTTTGAAGTTTGGAACAAAAATGGCATTTGTTTATCATACTTTTCTCGTCATTTTTGTTGGTCAAAGATCAGTCACCACCCAGTAGATGTCGGATGTGATCAAGGTGGAATCAAGAATGTAGAAATGCCGAGCTCAATTAGACGTGTACGTAATCGAGATTAAATAGCAAATGCTGTAACAGCCAACAATTTGAAACCTCAACATTGACTATCCTTCTAGCTAAAGACATGAAAATTGAACAAAATGTCGGACGGGGCAATGCAGTTATCCAATTACAAGAGGCATAAAATCCAACCGCTAAAACGTCTGTCACTAAGAGAAAAATTAACAAAATTCTTCCCTATATCACACTAGGTCGAACTTTGCTTCAGTCTTTACGAGTCTAATATTTTGCGGGGCAACAACAAAGGTCTTCTCCAGCCTCCGTAACAGAACAAGCGGCTCAAAGCGGTAGCGTATCAGATTATAGAATAGTAAGGACATTATTTCAGAAAACATCGCACTAACTGAGAAGAAGCTCACCGTCAAATGAACCATACGATCAAGTCTGATATATGCGTTTCTTGTTGACAAACTCTCCAACGGTGTCATCAGGAAGCAGATCAAGTGATAACACCAAAGAGAAACCTCATCCCCAATCGCACTAAGTTACTGTCCTGATCCGCAGCTTTGTTAATATCACAAAAGCAAAGCGCAGCAAGATAATTTCCTTGGCATATGGCTGCTTGGATATCCAGCAATAGCGGCTAGAATCCAGTTAATTCTAGGAGAAGTTAGTATGATAAATATCAAGAAGTCCTCTCCTTATAGGCACTTGACTGATAATAGCTACAAGTTTTTCAGTACAAGAACTACAGAAGACACAATAACCTGCTAAAATGATTGTCAACCACAAAAAGTTCTGCATATTCTTTCAGAATGAGGCCAAGCTATTCCCTGATGAACATTCAAAAGAAAACCAAGTAATGGCAGGAAATATGGTCTTGAAGCTAATGATGTGGAACAATCAGAAAGATACATGTAATTGTGGATCCTTCTGCTAAACGTCCAAAGAGGAGTTCAGAGTCATTGTGATCCCCAAATAATTTTAGCTAAACCATTGAGAATCCCCTTGTTAACTGTTTCCGCTTTCTGTTTTCCCAAGCACTAATAACCCCTCCACAAGAAGCTTTCTATCTTTACTGAGATCTTAACCACCATGTTTGACACGTGTACAGCCTCCCCAGTAAAATGAACTTTTTCAAGGGACTCAAAGGGGTAGAATTTGGGAGCATAATCTGTAGCACAATTATAGTAGTCATGCCGGGGCTAAAGTTCATGAACCCCAGGGGTTGGTTGGCCAACCACAAAAGGGTAAGTAGAAGATGCTGTACAACAGTAAACCTCCTACTCATCACCAATTGCAGAGTCTTTTCAATTTCATCCAATTCTCTTCTACTAGTGGTGAATCATTAGTAGTCAATGGCAGCTGAGGAGGGTAATAGTGGCAATGGCAAGGGAAGAGGATGACATTCGCAACAAATTTAACAGTGGCATCAATATTTGTTCTCTTTGTGGTCATATCTTACTGGAAATGCTTTCTCTTTGGGTAGTTTCATCCATTTTCGAAGCTTTTACGGTGTATCATGTATGAGACTGCTTTAGGAAGGGAGGGGGAGTTCCGGGAGATGAGAAGGGAGCCAAATATCAGGTTTCCTCTTACAGATGGGGACGGGACAACATGAGAATAACACAGGCAGAGTATTTGGCGTTCACAGCAGTCAATCCTAAACAAACATAGCCGCTAACTAAAACAATTGCGCGCCCAGTTAATTCTAGGAACCAGCTGCAGAAAAACAATATCAACCAAATTAAAACATAAATACCTTAATCATGTCTTTGCACAGTCAATAAGCATCCCTGCAGCTCAGCGACTAATCGTTCCTTAATGTCACACCAGAAAACATAAAACCAGAAAAAAAAACACACATAAGCATCACATTAACCATCAGTTCCATCGCCACCATATCACAAAATCAATAACTAGTACAGTCAGTGACCGACTGAACGACACCTTAAAACTTATCCAATCCATACCAAACGACTCAAAACACAAAGACAAGCGTGAGTCAACCACGCGACTCAACCAATAAAAGACGAGACAGCATAAGCATAGGTTTGACAAGTGAGCTCTAGAAAATGCTTATTAATTCACCAGAGGTATAAAAGAGGCATCGAAGATTACTGAAATTTCTTGAAGGATCCACCACCGATGACTTTGATCAAATCTGATAGTTTCTCGGAGAGTCCCCCGGCTGGCGGTTAGCTATTGCTACTGCTGTTGCTGGTATCGCCACAACTCTTGGATAGAGCTTGTCGCTGTTGAACGATGCTGGAGAAATTGACAGAGAGATCAGAGTAAATCCCCATGACTTTAGAAATATTACCGTTAATCTCCTGAATTAGGGCAACATTTTTAACCAAATTATCTGCAACTTTAGACTGGTGATTTTCGTTGACTTGCTTGATCAAAACTCGATTATGATCCAAAACAGATTGCACGTCGTTAAAGCTCTTGCTCAATGTCTCCCACGCCTGCACATCACAGCCCTCGTCCTCCTCATCCTCGTTCTCATCGTCATCCTCGTCGTGTTTGTCGCCGATTTTCTTCTCGCCGACTCTGCCTCTGCGTCCGAAGCGGCGCTTGACAGCTCGAGAGAATTGGTAATGTTTTTTTAGGGATTTTGAGGTGTCCTCCATGCTCCGGTCGAGTCCACGGCCTTTCACGACTCGGTTCTTCTCAGTCACATCCCTGCAACAACATAATACTAATAGTAATAATAGGAAAAAGTGCAAATGAAGCTGTTTTATAATTTATACGGAGAGGGAAATGGAGGCGGTGGTGGCATCTGAAAAATATATATATAGAACTTTAACCGACTCTTTTAACTGGAAGTAAAGATTACGGTGACAGCAGGGGGATTACCGAAGGATGATCATGGACCGTTAGAGGTGGTGATGATAGGCTTGATGATTGGTAAAGTTGAGGTGGTTCCCCACAGGCATGTGAGGTCTAACGAGTTTTGCTTTTGGAGCGCTTTATGGATCCGGACTTTGTCATTGGGCGATGGATCAAAAATATCTTCCACCAACTTGGGAGGGACATGCTTAGAAGTGGCGTGATGATGACGTGGATGGACATGAGTGGTCGCCAATTGTATAATGAAGACTGAACCAAGCAGGCAGCCAAGGTGGATTTATTCTATTGCTTTGACTGTTTGGGACCTTTGGGTTGGGAGAAACCTACTTTTCTTTTCTTTTGATAAATTTTTTTCATGCACTGTTACTATTTGCAACTATGAGAGGTTGTGATAGTTCATAGATTCTTTGTCTGATGATTCCCATTTTATGTCAATAGATTTTTGCTGAAGTCTTTAACAATTAGAGGGTCGATGTTAGTTGTATCGCAGTGGAGATGTAATTGTTATATGCTTCTGATTTTGAAAGGTCTCTTTGTAATTTGATCAAACTTGAGAATTTGTTTGCTAATTTGACCAAACTTTGAGGGAGGTAACAGTAATTTATACTTTTATTAATGTTATATGCTATCAAAATTAGAGTTTATTGTCAAAATAACTCTCCTTCCAAAACATATACCCCAAGTAATCTAATTTTAAAATTTGTTACTTTTATGATCCTTTTTTTACCACATAAGTTACATATATGTCAGATAGATGCGCGCTCCATTTCTCTTTCTTATCTAATTTCTTCTCCAATTCCTTTTTTGAACCTTTCCTGGTTTTTCCCTTTCTTTATCTTTTCCTTGTTAAACGTAATTTTGAGAAGTCAATATTTATATTAAGAGTATCTAAAACTTTGGTATCGCCCTTGATATTGTTTCAGTGGATGAAAATATTCTTCTTGAATCCATAATTTCAAAGTAAATGAAGATTATTCTCTTGCCTTTTCTATTGTGCAGTTTTTAGAACATTTCTACAGTTGCCAACAAAAAGTTTTGAATACTAATTGTTTAACAAATGATTTCTCATACCGTATGTTTGATAAAATGTCTCGGAAGAAAACTACATAACAACATAAATTCATGTTTGGGATGATATTTGCCTTTTATACTTGTTAATTACTTATATAATAATCTGGTAGTTTTTGTTTGTAAGAGAAAACTTTAAAATTTCAGCTTGATTACTTTTCGTAAAAGTTATTTTCAAGGAGTAGGAAGGATAACATAGGCAAATGTGATAGCTTTGAAAATTTTGTAACTTTTCTTGTTATTGCTCACATTTTTTATTGCCAGTTTGTTGCAATTTTTGTGTTTTTCAAATCTATTTTTTTTTAAAAAATATGTAATAAGTTTAATACATTTAAAAAAAAATGCAGAGACCAATAATAGCAAGGTCAATAATGATAGTATTTATTTTAAATAATTATATAGAAATTGTCAAAGCTATGCAATCTTCTTTTGCCTCTATAACAAAAAAAAATTTTAAATTTTTAGTTCATGTTAGAAAACTATAGATTAGATTAAAACATTCCTTTCTTGTTATCCAACATAGCAATAAGAATAACTAGGTAATAACAACAACATCATTATGGAAATAAAATTTAAAAGTGAGTCACATTGACAATATTTTTTAGAAAGTGTTATTTGACAAGAAAAACTCATCAAAAGTAAATTTTCTTACACTAACACAGATGTAAACAAAAATTAAATTTAAATAGGGACCAACAGCGTAAAGAAATTTTAACACTATATTTGGATTGTAAATTATTTAAAATATTTTTACTGTAACAATTTATGTGATGTGATGTATGTGAGATAAAAAGATAATTGAAAAGATAAAAAGTGTATTAAAAATTATAATAATGATACAAGCAAATATATTTTGCCCAATAATCTCCTGTCCAAACTGTAAAATTAATACCAGTACTATTTTTATTGCATGATTGTTTGACAGACACCCCTGAGACCTTATCTGCCGAAGGTATGGAATAACGTAAAGTTATCAAACAATTGCTCTTTCCTTGTTGTAGTCGTCTTTGCCGCTTTGAAAAGTGACAGGAGATGCCCAAAAAAAAGTAAAAAATGCGGTTCTCAAAAAGAGGGAAAGAAGAGTTAAAAAGACCTTTTCTCTTCTGAGTTCCAACTACACCATCAGTTTGCACTTCACAAGTTACATCATTTACAACCTGACTGATATGTATATAATGTGGCTAAACATGCCGACACGAATTCGATACAAAAGACCCAAAGCATAATATACATTAAAGTTCAAGCTCACAGCATAGGCTAGGATATGCTGTTAATCTTGCTCGAACTTCCACAATCTAAAGTTGGATGTAAACATAGGTCTGAATCTAAACTAGCTTCTAGATGTCATCTGTAGAATTAGTTGGCCAAGAATTAACAGCAAAAGCTAAATAGTACTCACTATTAACATCTAATTAACCATGCTTTTGCTACAGTTCTAAAAATGCGCGACCAAACTGCAGGAAGATTACTCGCCCTCATTGTCAGAATCTAGAAAGCTAAACTGTGTCTGCTGATCAAGCCTGCTGATGAGCAGTGTTCCACTATTTTCTTCGCTCCATTCAATACCTTCCTTCTTCAAAAGATTAATGACCTGTACATATGAAAAGGTAAAATTATGGCATGACCAAAGCATTTAGAAAAAAAGTATTCAATATTTGAGTAACATGCATGATATCTGAATCTTCTCAGTTCCTTTCCACACGTATCCAGAGATGGTCTATTATCTCTCCTTTCAAGCAATGATCACAAACACAAGTTTAAGAAATCCGTCCACTTAAGAAAGCTAACAGACAGACTTCTGGCATGTTAGATCAATATCACTTCATCAACCTTCCTGCAAAAATCAGCTGCAGTGAACAAGCTACAACTTTCAAGCTGATTAACACATCTGTGTCCGACAAGTAAGAACTCCATCCATGAGCAGTTAAACTTTACCCAATTATACAACATATGAAAATCAAAATTCCAAATGTAGGTCGGCTGTGCTGGAACCCATTAGTCCTTAGTCTATAATAAAGGAAGCACACTTTACTAGATACTATATCGGAGTTTAGTGCTAACATTACAGTGTGTCCAACATTTTCTTTCAACATTTTTTCCAAATTCTAGTACAAAAGCAGAGCAAGGTTGCTGACCCATACCGACTGTTTCAGCTGTGATTTCCCTACCCCGTGCCTCCCACATCCAGTGATAATCCTGAGTGACCGCACAGCTACAGCACAGGGAAAGAAGAACATAACAGAACACTATTCAATTGCTCTGACACAAGAAATCCCAAAGACTTGTGAACATGTTGAGAGAGAGTCTAGGGGACCTTTTCTGATTTACAAATGAGACATTTTACAGAAGCTTACAGCGCACATATGCCCCAAAAAGAAGATGAAGTTTTAAAAGCCTCATCGCTTCTTTGACATGTTGCCCATGCAAATCAATCGTTATCATATTCTCTATGCCCTTGTTTCTGCAGCACAGATACAGCTCAGTTAGACAACTATCATAGAGCACAGATGCTGAAACTAGAGTAATTTATCCAACAGGCAAACCTTGCTTGGAAGATATCCTGGCTAGCCTTTTCTTCTGCCTCCCGAGCCATCTTACTGTGTGTCCTCCCCTGAACCAGAGCAGGTATGGTCAAACATTTCATCCATACTCGTGGAAATAAGAAATAGCAAACTCTGATTGAAGTTTACTAGCAGCTTAGAATACTTATTTTGACATTAAACTAGGCACCATTGAAATAAGCGCCATCCATATTCTATTTGCATATCTACTTCATGCTACCTTACAGAGTTTTCCTTATGTAGGTTGCTCTTGATAGCATCACAAAAGTTTAGTAAAATAGTCTAACATTGAAGGTAGAGCATGAGAGGCATAAAGGAAGCATACAGAAGTTTTTTACCTTTCCAAAAAAGCAACTATTGATGCCCAAATTAATTTCCAGCCAAACCAGAAATTAAGTGGAGTACATTCCAAAACAATCCAAATTTACAGCAGCTAAAACTGCAATTTTCTATAACTAGCAAATTACCATCCACCTATATTTCACATTCTATCAATGACAAAAACAAAGTTTTATACCTAAGAACCAAGTTCAAAAATGTACATAGTTTCTTATTACATTTGATTAAACTTTATAGGTTGCTTCAGTGTTTTTACAGAAGATAGATTGGTCAAGACTTTTATACATGTCAACCAAAAGAAATTCAAAAGGAAAGTATAAACATAAGTAAAACACAGTAAACTTGGAAGCTTCAGCCTATGTCACTCATTAACAGCACACGCAAACCAGCATATCATGAAGGATGAAAAGTTAAAAGGAGAAACAACAGTAATAATAATAAAAGATATGTGCATCATCTCAATGGACATTCTCTACATTGCCAGACTGGTAATAAGTTGACTGTACAACTTAATCTGATATTTGTTCGCGTCTAACTTGAACAAGTTTTCTACTCAAATATACATGTGAAAGAGCACAGATATCATCTACTAGATACACACCTTCTCAGACAGAACAGCTGCATAATCTCGTTCTCCATTAGAAAATGCACTTGCAGCCTACAGAAAACTGCACATGGTGAAGCTTATATAGGTTCACGATTACAAAATAAAAAACATACCATAGTAACATACTCAAAAACTCCAAAAAGAAGAAAGCATCAGATACCTTTTGATAGCAAAACTTCATTGACTCCCAGTGCTGCTTTGCAGATTGTCTGAAGACCTGATAGTCATCTCCTTTAGCTACAATTAGAGAGACGTCATATGTAGTAGTTCAAAACATAATTGATTGAACAGGAAGAAAGCTCTCTCCTTCTCTCTCTCTCTCTCTCTCTCTCTCTCTCTCTCCGTGCTTGCATAGAAACCGACGTCTACAAGGAAACAGTAGACAATTGGTAATCATTAAAACTACTCATGCCTAAAAAGTGCAAAGACACGAGGGGGTTGAGGGATGTGCAAGCAAGACAATCCAAAGATTTTACATCAGAAGTTCCCATTCTTCCCCAAGTTGCTGCAACATGCAGATGCTATATTGATAAGAAATATGTCAACAGTAGGTCTTGGCAGAAACGCACATTCTTGGAACATATTTCTTGTAAATGAATCACCTATATGTATCAAAATGGTCTTGAGAAACCTGTGGTCTAAAGAAGTATGTTCAGTATACCAAGTGAATCATACCTAAAGAGTAGCATACCATTTACAAATACATGTGCTTCCTAGGAAAATTAAATACACATGAAAACCACAGAAGAAAATCATACCAGCAAAATGGCAAAATAAAGTGGAAAATTCAATAATTGATGGTATTAATAGCAGTTTTGAAGTTAACTTGCAAACACAGAGTGAATGCAACCAGGATTATCAGCCCATTATTAGAAAATAGACATACCAAGGGAATTCCGCACTAATGCACCATCTCCTGGATGAGTACCCTGTCCCAAAGATGTCATTTTTTTAACAATTTTCCTCCAGTTCATAGTGTTAGGCTCACGTTCAGCACTCTTGGGAGTCGGCATATTAAACAGGGATTCCAAAACCTGTTGAGAGAGGTCTGGCTCCATATGCGCAGGATTTTTTGAAGAATGATTGTCAATACCAGCAAGAACTTGGAAATGACTCCTGAAACATAACATCAAGTGGTGAACTCCTGAATGATATATGGAAAAAAAATTCATTATATCATGAAAAACAGACCAAGTAAAATTCAATTGTCAATTAAAAGTATTATCATCTATCTAATAGGAAAAGAATATACAGGACACCCCACTCGCTCTCAGTGGGTCCGTTATGCTTGCACAATGAGACATCCCAGCTAACCTCTTTTCTCAAGTCTCCTTTCCACATCCACCTTCTGGGAGTCTCTTGAAAATAATGGGCTTTGTAGCTTGAATACAAATACCATCAACTTCTTTAATTCCTTCCTAAGGCATCTCCATTCTCTATTCAATTCAAAGTCCATGTTTAGCCACCTCTGGTGAACAAAGAAGACCTTCATACAAAAGGAACATGAAAGATCAGGTGTTAGACTATTCTACTCCAGACACACTTCCATAAGCTCACCATATCAAACACCCGGTGCACACAACTCTGGCATTTTTACGGTCCACTCTTCTCCCTTCTTTGTGTTTGTGTTCAAAGAAATATCAAAAACTATGTTGCTTGGACTCAGGTACGGGTGTCGGATATGGGCACATATCTAGGTGTCAGATTTGTTGGACTCTAAATCTAGGATATGGGGACACATCTAGAGACTTGGACACAAGTACGTGGACACAGCACTAAGTTTAGCAAATTTAAGAGTAGTGACTAGTCATTTAATCAAACACATTTGGAAGGCTCATTAACATTCAATTGTTGGATTTAGTATAGCAAATCAAAATTAAGAAAAGAAAAGTGTGCATCTTAATTGTCAGCTTGTTCCATGCTTCAGCAAAATCAAAACTAAAGGTTGGATGGATAATTAAATCTTGGAAATTGACCTACCATATAAAGTGTTATTTTATACAACCAAATCTTTTAAAGGATGAAATGGGGTATGGTGAATTGCTAGACTCACTTAAACGGGACCAGCTTCCGGTGACCAGCTAGTAAAACAGAAAATATGGACATATTATTTATCCAATGACGGCAATGGTAACCTCTAAAAGGTCACCAGAATGTCACTTTAAAAAATTCTATTTCTACTCCTCGTTATCTCCGTCCACCAGGTTGAATCAAACAGTGACTCTAACTCCCAAGACTTCTTTGCAATTGCAAACCATTCTCATCCTCTCCATTTTCTTTTCAAGAGCTTTCTTCATCATCCACTCTGTAGCATCTAATCACCTTTCATCTTTCATCAGTGAACCTCCTGATCATGTGATTAAACCCCTCCAAAATCTCCTATTGGTACTGGTGTATTAGGAGACCAGTTGCCATCCATAGATCCACCACCACTGCTGCCATTTTCTGGTGATGGCCCAGCACTTGAAGATCAAAGTATCCATGGATGAATAACAATTTTCCGTGAAGCCTAATCTGAAGCAGTCAAAGCACCCAAATATTTCTGACCGGATCCGACATGTATCTGCGCCCACCCCCATGTCGCGTCGTGTCGCACAGGTGCGTGCTGGAGCTAACTGGCGAGTCCAGGAAACATAGATCAAAAACACTCTTTATTTATTGCAATTTGGAAAAAGCTTATGGTTCATTTGTAATGAAGCAAATGCCTTTTTTATTTGGGGTAAGTAATGAAATAATGCTTGAGGACCAGGATCACAAACATTTAGAACTCTAGAAACCCTAATAGTAATTCATCCCGATGGGAAAATGGAATGCTGAGGAAAAACCAGGTAAAACCATTCAACCGGGAGAGGAACCACTAAAAAAAACTGTGACCCAATGATGGGAATGACTTACCTGCCAATATGTTCTGTACACACCGCATTTTTTGGAAAGTCACTTTCAGATGAATAAGAAGTTGAGTCAGATGTCCTATCTGTAAGCTGCCGAGGGGAAAATAGGGGAAAAAAAAAGCATTTACAAATTAAGAACCAGAACAGAAACTTTAATATCATACGAGCAGAAGGAAAATCATAAAGACCTCTACATGGACAAGCGTGCTTGTTTGAAATTTGTAATACATTTAAAGTACCAATCCACAGATTGTGATTTAAGGTCTCAAGTTTCTGTACATTCAAGCAAATACAGATAGTCTTGAAGTACAGAGATCATTGTGCCATTAAAACTCAAAAGAAAACTTAGAAATAGTGTACTTGTTCCTCTATCATAGAATTGAATGAGGGGAAAAAACAGGATTAACAGAGTAACTTCTCTCAAACACACACACCACCACCACCACCCCCCAACAAAAAAAAACCACTGCAAAAAAAAAAGAAGACCACCAGCAAGTAAAAAGGGGAAAAGTCAAGGGGAAAAGAATGTTCAGCAAGTATGGATTAAAGGGAAATAATGTTTTAACCCCTTCAATACCCTACAATACGAATAGATGGCATGCCTATACTTGAGCATCAAAGTACCATTTAGCCAGCACGAGTTGTCAGGATCCTTGCTAAAAGTTCTTATGAACTGACACATAAAACTGAATCCATTGTTAATTTCCAGCGATTCTTAATATTTGCTTTAGAAGCTCAATTCACACAATAATTTCCAATTCCAGGCCAACGGCCTACATGCAAGATGCGCATACATAGTGAAAGTCAGAGGATTTAGAATCTACTATTTTTCTGCAATTGAATCAAAATTCAGCAAGAAAACATCACGGTTGTCAAACAAATAAGGAAATAACAACCCAATATAATAATGACATGTCAAATACCCAACTTACACTGCTGTTTCCTTCAAGATTAGAAGAAGCATCTTCTCTGATGTTAGCATTAGCATTGCCAACGTGGGTTTGCTCACCCAAAGAGGACGATAATTCAAGCAAAATATTTAGAGCCTGAAAAGGGTAAAGAAAAAATATATCTTGATTCTGCCACTCATTATAATAGTAACTAAAAGCAATTGTTTCTCTCCAAGAGCATAAAAAATAAAAGCCACGAAACCATAGTGCAACCTAAATGTGAAAGACAGTGAGAACAGATCAAAATAGTTATTACAGACACCAACCAGAAATCAGGGACATAATCAATTGGCTACTAGATAAACCAAAATCCCTGAACCAACCATAACCAGAAATAGAATGGGAATAAAAAATCTAAGAATTCAATGAATACCTCCAGGTAACAAAATGTTCTTAGTACCCAACAGGTTTGACAATTCATTGGCATCAACAATGCAGAGATTCAAAAAATACAGCACTGTTGTTCAAGGTGCCATCTTCTCAATCAAGAAAATCATTGAACTAACTTTCACCCCAAATACTTGAAACTTAGTCAGTTTTAAAATATGAGATTGAAGTGTCGTGAAATCTTGAGGTTGTCAATGGAATACCAGTATTAGAAGTTAAATCAGTCATGAAATCTTACAAAACTTGTGGCTGAAGATGTAATGAACTTTTAGTCTGACAATGTTACAAAACTTCCACAAGTTTGGGAGGAGACTTCATCCTACACAATTCATTCTAAGTACCTAGATGAGACCCAAGCAAAAGTACAAATTCATCTATCCACTAAATACCATCGCTTTCTCATAAGAAAGTAAGTACTGTATCTAGAATCAGGCAGTGCACCAAATAAGATCTCTTAGAGGGGCAAAAAGAACAAACTGTAAGTTCAACAACCTTTAGAAAGAACTAAGGTAAGACTGCTCACCTTCTCGACATCATACCCACACCCACCTGCCAAAGCCAACTGTCAGTCATGTAATAGTCCACTAAACTTTAACTCAAGAATGTGCAGTTGCATCTATTATATATCAATAACTTCATAGCATGATATTCCAAGCATCCTCACATATTGATATAGGCATTACAAAAGCATTCCTCAGCTCATTTTTGGCTAGCAATGCTAAATATAAGAATATCATGATGTAGTCGCAGGATACTTTCCTAGTCTGCTTCCTATGAAATTTACAGCTCTACTACATATGTACTTATACCCAAAAACAACCCCCCCAGAGTAGCTCAGTTCCATAACAAAAATTTACAAGAAAAATGAAAATTAAGAACCTACAGAGCACATCGCTGACTACAGGCATGCCCAATTCACAGTCCTCCCCAAGCATCGAGAACAAAAACTGCTCCACGTCCTCCTTATTCCAACTTCCCTTCGATTTTGAGGAACTTTTCTTTGTAACCGACCTCACATAATCCTTTCCCAACACCGTTGAAACGATCCCAGCAGCTGCCACAACCTTTTTCTGCCTACCTTTCTGATTCCTAACCCCGTTTGGACAGACAACATTAGCCTCAGCAAACACCTCGGAAGCAGACGACGAGCCCGATGAACCCGAGCCCGACGAGGTAGATGCAAAATTTCCACTGGAGCTAGAGCAAGATGTGCTTTGATCCTCGGTCGAACTCTCCTTCACATACAAATCCCCTAAAATCTCCGCCGCCTTGTTGACATCCCCCTTGGCTTCGTTATAAGCCGCTTCAGCTTCTTCGACAGAAATTGTACCAAAAGCCTCCACCAGACTTTCTACAACCTTGTGCTTTTCTTCTTCTTCAGCTTGGTTGCTCTGAGGCGGAGGAGCAGCGTTGCAAACCCCACCGCTACCTTTCTTGGAAGCACGCGATCTCTTCTTCTTCTTCATTTTTTCACGAAAAAAAAAAAGGAAAGAAAATCCACCACACAGATCTCTAATTATAATATTAGTACCATATTTACATGTACAACGACAAGAAGGACAAAGAAGGAGATTGATCAGTGGCTAAATTTGATTCAACCGCGAGGAAATAGAGCTAGAGGGTTTTGGAGGACAGAACATATAGGTCAAATAAACCCTAGCGATTGGCATAATAGAAGGTAAAAATGATTTTTTTCCCTAAAAATCAAAGTGTTTGAGAAGGATTAGACATCAAGGATTGAACGGGGATGATGAACACGTTGAAGAAGAAAGGAGAAAATGGGGACCGACAAATTAGAGATGTGAAAGGTGGGTAGTTTTCGAAATTTACTGTAGCCGTCATTTTGAGAATCCTATTCCATCTTGATTCCTGGAGAATACCAAGGTGGGGCTAGGGGAAGCCGAGTGGGGCGTGGGGCGTGGCGGGGCCGACGACTGCCGGGAATAGTTTTTTTCTTTTTTTCAAATCATCTTCAACTTATAATTATCTTCTTTTTTTTTTTTTTTGGCCACTCCTTACTAATGCTTTGGGCTCTCAGCTCCTCCTGAAATTCCAATATCCAACAAGTACTTAAATTGGTATCATTAAATCATGAGTTTAAATTACTAAATTGTTAAACACTAGAATTATTTGATAATTCAATTCAACACTTAAATTTAATAAATTTAGATTTTAATATGTCTAAATGCGTTTGATAATCAAATATAGAGTATCCGAGTTAATTAAGTGACACTGAAATTTCTAAACAAAACTTGCTGCAAAATATAAGTAACCAGTTATTGACTTATCCACTTAATGTACTATATGTACCAGATTAATACTTAATAATTTAATAATTTAACAAATTTCAAGTTTCACATTCTAGTTTAATCAAACACATCCCATGTCCGATACATTTGAATGTATATCAGTGATAAGTGAATTAATTGAGTTTCGCTAACTGATGCTCTATTTTTTATTACCAATTGTGTGTAAAATATTAAAATTTCAATTAATTAAATTTTAATGTTGAATCAAATCATTAAATGGGTTAAGAGTCTTGGAAAACCCCTAATTTCACAGGTTTCCTCCAATTGGAATGCAAAATGGGCTCTGTCTTGTTTCCCGTAGAAATTAGGATGCAAACTTCCAAAAAGGCCCTTGCCTGGCCGTTGTTTTCTGTACAGATACATGAGTTTTGGGTGGCGACGCCATATAAGTCCTCAATTGGCACAAGCATTTTAGTTAAGGGACTTAATTGGTGCGATAAAATTTTTAGGGACCAAATCGGCTTTAGTAAAATAGTTTAAGGACTAAATTGGCGATTTTCCCGATATCAAATTGCAGGAACATCCCTGGTATGTCCAATTTAAGTCATATGCCGGGAAAGGAATTGGTGTTTGCTTGCATTTGTGTTAGTCTTACTTTCATCAATTCCATTTCTTTTCCAATTGTACTTGCAGTCTACAAGATGGTAGTATATTGAGGATCTTTTTAGTTCTTCTCTGCAGTTAGCTGTCGCTTATCATCCCGTACCAGATACTGGGGAGCTTTTCACCATAACGCAGCAAATGCCACCTTATCTTTGGAGGATTCACAAGAAGGTGAAAGTATAGATTAATGCAGCAATACAGGCACACTAAAAAACAACTAATAAGTAATAAGCATGATCTCTCCAATTCCCTGTAAATTATGCTAGAATTAACTATGCAAATTCTTGCTTGATATCTGTTCATTACAGCAACAATTTTGTATCCAAATTTTCAAGAAATCTCTTTTCAAGCACAAGAGTATTAAACTTCGGAGAAGGCAACATGACAATTTTGTCATGGTCAACTGTCAGCAGACTGTCAGCAGACCTAATTAGTTTTTCATAAACATAACAAGCAACGCTTTCTGCTAAACATTGGAGTGCTGGCGCATTGCTGCCCTACTGCTAGTCTGCTACAAGAGAATCAGGCAAACTTCAACTGCTATCTTTCACAGCATTAGCGGAACTTGTATCGCTGCACTAAGTACGGTATGCAACTCTTCATGATCTAGTGGCTTTACAAACTTCAGCCCATCGTCTTGACCCATGCGGCTGCACTAAGTACAGTATGGAACTTATTTGGCTTTGCTGAGTACGGTATGGAACTCTTCATGATCTAGTGGCTTTACAAAGTTCAGCCCATCGTCTTGACCCATGTGGCAGCCAAGACACTGCAGCCTTCTCCTCTCCACCTCATCCTTGACTTGCTGCAAGCATGAAGAAGAGCAAATTAGAGTCATTGCAGAAAGTTGGAACATCCTCAATGCAGAAATGGCAATAAATCATCAGAGATTCTCAAAAAGTCCTGCTAAAGCTAATTGTGGACAGCGATAGGTTTTCATAAAAAACCATAAAGAGAGCCATTATCCTTCGTGCAATGATCAGGCATAGTAGTGGCAGACCAACCCCCAACAAGTCAATCCAAACCATGGCAAGCCAGTCAAAAATACATTTGCAATTGCAAACAAAATTCTGCATTTCGAAATGTTGACACTAAAATCCATATATTTAATGACGTAACACATTTGAATGCTAAACAGCATCGGTGGCCTTAAAAATTGCACTCCAGAGGTATATGCAGCAGTATACCAAAAGAACAGCATCAATAGCAAAGCCCGCCATTTTATCTATCACCATGATAATGAGAGCACCACGTAATACCAATTGGCAAGATTTATAAAAATCAAATAATTTAAATTTTTGACCAAATAGAAGAACATCGTGGCTTTAAAGGATACATGTCAACACCCTAGATAGAGCATAGTGGAGAGATCTAGCTAAAAATGAAGGCTTCAATTAAATGGACAACAAGATATAGAGGAAACTTGTTTGCCATGATACAAGGGAAAGTAGCCTTATGGTCATGCATTTGTTTCAATGAAAACAGCAGTTAGAAAGTGCATAGCTAGTATAAAAGTGCAAACCTTCACATTTAAGAAGTTAAGGTGGCACTGGCATAACTTCAACTAGGTCTCTACTATCTTACAAGAAAGAAAGTAAACGAGAGAACTTCACCTAATTGCGCTAAGAATGCTCCACACTAAAATCTCAAGGCTCAAGCAGTATGCTTTAATAATATTTTATGATAAGCTAATTCAACACCAGCGTAACGTCACGTAGAAGACCTTTATCATCTTAAAAGAAAGAAGGTGAACGAAAAGTTCACTCATATTGCATTACCAATGCTCCATCTGCAAGAACAGGAAGCACAGCCTGGTGGACTACAATCAAGTCGCTCAGTATGCTGTTCAGACTATAACTAGCAAAGCACAGCATGAAACCAGTCAATTAAATCCAAAGGCTCAACTACTATGTCATTTAAGTTATCATTATTACAAAATATTAAACGAATGCAAGACAGAGAGAAGAAGTTCTCTCGCTAGACGGCTTAGAGAAGAGCAATGTTGTTTATGATATTCCATGAAAGGTGCAGAATTCAATTCACTCAAACTTCACTGCTTGCTCCATTTTCCCTATCCAATTTGATAGTGCAATAGCTTCATTTTTGTACTCATTCGGTTATCGCTAAACTATTTAGAATTCCACTATATGGCGCTTTGTTAAAATGTTTTTGGGCTGGGCAGTACCATTTTTTCTTAAAAAATTATGATTAACCATCTTGTTAAAGACAAAAAGGAAACACAGATTAAGAGTACAAATTTGTAAATAAGCTTGTCTAAGTTACCATATAGAGTATCGATTCCTAAATAGTATGCTTATCTTGAGATATGTTGTACACGACAAATTATCAATGTTGCAGTAGATAGTGATGTGCAAATTCAGATCTGGGATCCTTTCTTTTGATTCTGTATTGAATTCATGGCCTCCAGGAATAGAAACTTGATATTAGGTTCAGTTTAGTTAAATTCTCTTAGCATTTTTGCCATCCTTTTAACAGCTTTTTTGGAAGTAAGAAGATGGCATTTGTTAAACAATTCATCACAGTCTTTTTTTGGCCATTTATTAAAGTTAAACAAAAGCGAGAGAACCAGAGAGAGTCGAAACAAGAAACTGTACTAGAAAAGAAGAAAAAAAAATGAAGTGGATGCTATACTAAGAGGTCAGGGCATGAAAAAAGAGAAATCTATGAAGCCATGGAGTAGAAGCCGTATCCATAGACTATGACTGTCTGCATAAAATTTAATCTTCAGTTACTACAATGACATTGAGGAATCAATATTAATTTTTAATTTCTTAAGTTCAGCTCATATAAGGTATTTGCTTCCTGCAGTGTTTCATTTTTTCTATTGTTTACTAACAAATATTCATATGCTATTCAACAATAAAAGAGAGGCATCCCGTTTACAGGAAGTTTATATGAGGTAAACCTAGTAATCTACTGTTGCCAGCTCTACATGAATGTCATCAATTAATGTGCCTTCTCTTTCCTTGATTCTAGTATTTGGTTTCAGTTTTGTTATTTGTGTTGTGCCAAAGTATCTATAGGGACTGCTGAAACTAGTTGTCAACTTAGCACAATTATGTGAAAAAAAAAAAGATTAGCTGGAATATTTCTTTTAATGAACTTAGTTATCCTATTTCAGCAAATGAGTTGAATTCTTTGGTACTACTAAGACACCGATGTTATTCCATTAAAATGATATGTTATTCTTTTTAAATGAGTAAATGTTTTGAAAGCTTTGCACATTGGAGATGAAAATGTTATGTGCAAGAAGTTCTTAAATTGATACCATCAATTGGTGAATAAAATATATGAAGGGATGGTTTGCATTTGGTCTGTAATATCTAGTTTTATCAAATACTTTCTGAATACTTCACGTACAAAAGCCCTCAGCTAAGAAGAAGAATTCTAGAGTGCATGTGTGGAAGCACTTCTAAAGGTAGTTACTTATGCATGTCTCTGATGGAAAGTAGTCGTGCTTCTACATTTTTCTATCTCATAATAACATTTCTTTTTTAATCAAGAAAGCTTGAAGAAGCAATTGACCAATTAACTAAACCAATCTCACTTAATATAACATCAGCAACAATGTATGCTTCCAAAGTAACAGTGCTTTCCTTACAGTAAATTCTGATCATTATTTTGTTAAGCTTCAGCATGCTAATATGGTGGTTTTGTATGGATCAATTGCAGAAGATAAGATGAAGTCCACAGCTAACCCAAATTAAAACGTGAGCGCTGAACTGTAATCCCATGCGAAACATCCTAAAACTCAGTTACCAACGAATCAGATACTACCTCAATAAGATAATATACATGTTCTGATTCCTAGCAAGAAAAAAGCAAAAGTATTTGCAATTGATACCTGGCGTTGTTGTCGACACTTTTGCTTACTTTTGCTCATTGACCACCAATTGAAGTTAAATAGTTTGCAAAC